TTAAAAAGATAAAAGTGAGATAACAGACATCAATTTTTCACTATAAATCTCTGGGTTTACTACAACATTAAAATTTCCAGTAAAAGCACGGTTTTATATACCTGAACTCTAATGGCCTATTCTGAAAATATTTATGTCAGGAAAAGCATGGTATTTGCATGCCAAAAGCAATTTTAGTGCCAATGTTTAGCATTCCCTTCCCATTTAACTCCTTCCCATCTACTCATGAGTGTTAGATGCTCTGCCTAATGCCTACCTGGTGTGCCTCCCCAGGCAGCCTTGCGGAGGCGGACGCTCCAGGTGCGTACTAAGGCAAAAAAGTCAAATACTTCTAATAAAATACCACTGCACAAAACACTTGCCTGATGGCTTAGTATGGAGTCTCTAGCAATGGTCTGAACCACTGATTTTACCCCCATGCTTTGCATGTGAAACTACTCATTTCCAAGGGGCTAACTGCCTAACCAAAGCGAAAGACAGGGACAGAAGGACAGGAAATTGGGCAAGACGGTTCAACAGCTCAGAAGCAACGGGTCAAAACTCTTGGTAATTAGATAAGGTTTCTGGAGGTATGGGTAGTAATCCGTTAGTTTTATACTAAAATTAAAATCAGAGCATGATTCTGTGAGAGCCAAGTATCTCACCTTCAACATACAGGCATTTTGACTCGGTGAGAAGAGCATTTGGCACCTACCTGGCCATACACAGCAATCAACAGGATTGACACGGCAGAAAAGTATTGATTTTACCTATTTATTCTACTAAAAAGTAAACTTATTTAGGTATAATAATGCAGGCTAACTGCCTTACACTGTAGCACATGGGACTCTCAGAGGTACGGAAGTTGATATTACTTCAGTTTTTGCAAACACTAATTTCCTAAATTTAAGAAACCTTTAGCAACGTAAGCTGATTTTCAGCAAAGTTTTGCTCTCTTCCCTACTTCATACTAGCATATGCAGGCCGCAGCTTTCCAGCATAAGCCATTAACATAAATGTAACTTCTCAAAATACAGCAAACATACAGGAGCACGACAAGGCTCTACTTGCCTTATCTCTCAGGGCTGTTAGGTTTGGGGTTTTTTGTTTGTTTGTTTGTTTGTTTTTATGGAATAAAATTAGATTTTAGCATCTGTCACCATCAAGAAAAAAAACTCATCCCTGGCTCCCACATGAAAACATTGTAACCAATGCACAGTTACTGAACCGTGATGCCTTAATGATCATTACACAAATCAACTTTTTTTGTTTGAAATAACAGAATTAAGAATGTGCTTTCATAATTACTTGAATTAGACTGTCAGGTTATAAATTTAATAAAACTCCAATATGATTAAATTGTAAAAGGAACGCATACCACACAAATTTATAGATGTGTGAATTCTTTTCATTTTGACTTATTTAGGTGTGCTGATTAAATTTTAGTAAACAATATTGTTAGTATTGCTGTTCTACCACTAAAAAACAACAACCTGGGAGCAGACAAAGCATTTGGTAAACGTTTCTGCCTTCCATTTGCATGTATTTTTCTAAGGGTCTCTTTTCAACATAACCAAACAAAAAATATTAGGCAGACAACTTGCAATAAAAATGTAGGATTTTAAATACTGACGTTAGGTGTTTTGCCAATTACAATTCTTAAACTCCCCAAAGATACTATGTATTCAAGAAATTTGAATTATAGTATCTTCCTCAGCTCCTCAGTTTAACCATACTAACTTTTAAAGTATATATTTTGAACTTAACAGAATTTGAATTTATTCTGCAAACAATATAGCGATCCTTAAAAACACAGAAATTTAAAAAATATACAGAATGCATATATTCCTATAGGGGAAAGAATTCAACATTTGAAGGAATCTTGTAGCTAAGTCCCCAAACTTGTTCAAACCCATGTGCCAGATAGTCCCTTTCCTTTGTGAAAGCCAACAAGCCACCAGCAAAGTGCACCATGAAACTACAAGTATGCAAATCATCACTCACCTAAGCCAGAGCACGGTCTCAATAATATTGCTGCAGTCTCTTCCTGCTCTCGTCACCCCTTCCTTGCTCTGTGCTATGACCTCTGCTGCACCAAGCCCCTGTAGCCAGCTAGTTTGTTGAGCATCAGGTCCATATGTGGTCCTCCATCGATCAGGTAACTCTTGCCAAAGGCACTAATACAGCGCAAGGGAAGATGCTCGTTTTTTACCTCGGCACTACCTAAATAGAAACTTCTGTAGCGCATCATTTAATAGCTCATCTGTACAAAGTGCTCTAGTCAGCAGAACATTATCTGCTGTCTCCTGGCTCAGGCAAGTCCAGCCACCTGGCAGATGCTGGCTGCTTCGACACCCAATCAAATGTTGACCCAAATCAGTTCCTTAAAAAAAAAAAAAAAAATAGAAAGGCCCTCCAGCAAACAACTATCTTTGTCCGCTAGCAGAGCTGCTTTAGGTCTCATACTGGTTTGTACCATAACTCCAGACTACACTCAGCAGTTAATCAGGTTTTTACATCCAAAATAAGAGCAGCAACGTTCAATTTTTGTGATGGTAAAAAACAAAACTGTTAACCAATGCATTATTTTCTAATACGTGTCCTCCAGACTTTTCACTATAACTGGAAGTGATTATCCCAGGATTTCCAGTTCTGAGCAGGAAACCAATATCCCCAAATGAAAAAAAAACCAAAACCAACGGACCTCCCTTGAGAGAGGTTCTCTTAAAGAGTATGTCTGAACAAGCCTCTTTTTTGTGCAAGAGAGACTTCTTTGCCCCAAGAAATAATTTTCTGTACTGCTGACAAGCTCCAATGCAGAATTTTTATAAGGCAGATATCTCCTCTAATGTACATGGCTTTGCTACATATTTAAAATTTATTGATTAGCTGACTAGTAGTGAACTGGTTAGAGAAGACCCAATACATTCAGTTTACCTAAGAGGTTACTTCTGTGAAGAAGCTTTCTACTACAATGGCGCTTTGGCTAACTACAGACCTGAAAGCTTGCTTAATACATAAATTAACATTACATTGCTTAAATCTGGGAGAAAAATAACCTCTGAGAATACAGGCACCATCTCCATAATAAAAGGGAAAAGAACTATGTGTTTGGTGATGTTTGTTTTCTATACATGGTAGCAAAGTTTGTACAAGAATCTGAATTCTGTATCAATACTCTAAAAAAACTGCATTGCATCCTCTGGAAGCTTTTGTGCTTCACTTCAATTACCTGTCCCTTTTAAAGTCAGCATTGGAAGAGCTGTCCCACCTAGAAATGTTAAGACTATGCACTTAAATAAATACGCTATCACACAAATCGGATCAGATTAAAATTACGTGGACTGATAGACTGGCTTCAAACCTTAGTTTTGCAGAAAACTGCAATGGAAAGGGGAAGGTGTAGAAAACGGACAGTTCTCTAACCCGGAGTCTTGACATGTAAATAAAGACATCTGAGGAGCACACAGGTTGGAAGCTGCTGTAACATTCTATCATAATTAGAAACATTTCAAGAGCCCTGTAATTTCCAATCAAAATTACAGTAATTTCCGATATACAAGCCATGATTCATGACAGAATTTTTACATTCCATGGGAGATTACAGTGGCCTGATGTATGACACAGAGTACAGCACTAACATAAACAATTCAGTTTAATGTTTAAACAGCACTTGGTGTTTAGAATCCAACAATAAAAGAAACATATTATTGTAGAAATTATCACTTTGACAGTGATTGAAGGGTAGGCAGGCATGTGGCCTATAAAGCTGTAATTTTTACAGTCCACAGCTTGAGTTTAATCATTTTGATATAACATTTCCAAAATATCCCTTTAAATGCTCCTTACAGCATATAACTTAAGAGACAACATCCTTTCTGTACAATGAAATAGAGTAAACTCCAAAACATGAACAAAGCAAAAGTCAAAAGTTAAAGACTGTTAAAAAGAAAACTAGCACTAAAACGCTGACGGCCCAAGAAACATTGGTCTAACTGATCATTATCAGCTTTCCCTGGAAGATGCTGTATTTTTCTATGAAGCAAATTTAGAAAAGTAAAGGAATAGTGACTAAGTAGACTTAACATTTAATCTAACGTGAAAATTCAACATTGCATGCATTGGTGCCTTTACCATTTCTTTCAAGCATTGGTATAACTGTGGTTCTAGTCTTCCCCATTTTTCTATATGTTTTTCCTTTACTTACTTCTTGAGTACATTCTCACTTAAATCAATGCTTTTGCATACTCCGGTGATCCTTCTCAGAAGACATGTCACTTACCTATAATAATCACACCCAACAAGCGCTCGCTGATTTCCCTCTCTTGCTACTAAACTTGACAGAAATTCTTCAGTTGAAGAGAACAAAATACGAAACCACACAACAAAGGCTTAAAACTGAATATGCAACATATATGTACGCACACACGCAGGTAACCAAGCAGTCATTGTATTCCACAAAGATCATATATATTTTCTCAGGTGTAACTTGTATAACTGTAATTTGTCGGGGTTTTTTTTTGTTTGTTTTTGACATGAACAGTGCTGCCCCACCTCCTGTGCACAGCCTCACCAGTGGGCCTGACTAAATATTTTCGCAAAAACCAGAACCCCAGCATTCCTCGTTACAGCGCATGTAATTGCAAAACACCAAAGCCTCAAGATGAATTCAGCAGCAATACACAGAGCTCGCCCACAGCTTTTGCCACATCCACGCCAGCTAAGAACTGATGAACCTGATGCTTTCTAAGCCACACAAGACCCATGGGCAGGCAGCGAAGGCATCTCACTGGCGGGGAAGAGGGAGGGATGCGTCCCGGGAAGCTGCTTCTCAACCCTGCCTGGTCAAGGGTAACCAGAGGTTACCTTTGGACTCAGCAAGGAGCTCCGAGTTGTGGTACCAGGCTGGTGTGCTAACCTGGCTGCCGTTGTAAGTCACACAGAAACAAATCAAAACCCGGGGGAGGGGGTGGGAAATAATCAGACAGGACAGGGAGGCTGTTGCGCCCTGGGAACTTTACCTGGCTTTTGGTTGCCGCAACCTTTGCAAACAGTGCTTGAGACACCTTAGCTCTCTTCATTTCCTGCT